TTTTTATTAAATTACTTACTAATATTAAAAAAAACGGAACAATCCGGAGAAAAAGATAAATCCGAGGCAAATATTGCTTTTAGACAAATCCGGGACACAAGATGGAAATGTGGAATTGAACCGGGCAAACCGGGACGCATGGTCACCTCTATAGTACCCATACAAGATTCGTTAATATATTCTCGAAAACTAGTTTCCTTTTATTTATCCTCGTTGTAGTATGATTTTCCGGTTTTCACACAAATAATAATTTTATAAAATAAAATTTGTAATAGATTCATAAAAAAAAACATGACAAGGAAAATATTTGGCAAAATCCTTTTCAGGAAATGTTAGAGTGGTAATTATATACGTTGTTATCTTCCATATCATGTATCAAATAATTTTTAAGATTAAAGATAAAAAATTTAAACAGTTAAGAAAATATTCAAACACCAGGTGTTATTATTAGTTGAAGAAGATGAAAAATAGCATAATGTAGAGTAATGTATTAAAGATAAAAAATTTAAACAGTTAAGAAAATATTCAAACACCAGGTGTTATTATTAGATCTTGAAGAAGATGAAAAATGCCTAATGTAGAGTAAATGTAGAGTAATGCATAAAAAATGTAACAAACAAAATCTTTCAAATTAATAAAAACGAAAAAATAATAATGTCATATGTCACCATTTTCATTGAAATTTAAAACCTAGCAGTTTTACCGTAATTGCAAAGCAATATTTTATATAAAAAAAGAAAAAAACAAATATAAACGAATATATGAAACAGTACACGCCATATCTTAGCATGATCAATGCATGACCATCTTAGCAATGGTTTTCTATGTAGCAAATATAAGGATGTTATGAAATCCAAAAACAAGTTGTTCACTCGAGCACGCCCGCATTTTGTTAAATTTCGTTTCTTCACCAACAACGCAACGTAAGAAAAGCGCAGTGATAAAAGCGACTATCTAATGCAACGCAGAGCCGTTAACCCCACTACTGAGCCATCTCGGGGTTTACGGAAGGAGTTCCCCAGCCCACGGAAAATATCAAGGACCCCACTAACACAAGCCACCACGCCCAGTTGAAGCGGCGACACGCCTATATACGCGGTGCCACGAACATAAGTTCAACATAAGAATGTATGTTTGAATGTTTCTTTAAAATAGAGTTGTACGCTTATAATGTCATAAAACTTAGAGAGAATATGTATTTATTATAAAATAAGACTAAAAGTATCATGATCGATATTCAGCACAAATTAATATTTTGAAAAAGTTAAGAGTATACAAATATAAAAATGAATTTTTATCGTATTTTTTAACTTACCGTAATAACTTATACTTATCCAAAAATCGAAAATAAAAATGTTTGCATATCTTTAAGTTTCAAATGTTTGAAAACCTTTTGGCATACCTTACAATTAGATAAAATGAATGTGTATATACTATTTTTCAAATCTGCGTTTTCTAGATATACGGATTAACCGATTTGAACGATTTAAATAACATTCGATTCGCACTGACAGGAAGACTTGATTCGTTTTCAGCAAAGACAGGTCGAGCCGTTTCAGAGATATAGAGCAAAAAGTGCACGAATTCAGTTTTCGAGAAACCCGATTAGATCGATTAAAAAAACATTCGATTCTTGTTGATTGGCTTGGCAAATACAGGTTCAGAGACACAGAGCAAATAGTGCTGAAAATGAATTTTTGGGAAAACAGAGAATCCGATCAGAATGATTCAAAAAGATTTGGTTCGTATTCACGAGGGGACGCGCTGATAAGATGCAAAAAAGTGCAAAAAAATAGCAGTTTTTGAGAATCTAAAAATATTTTGCTCGTGTTGACAGTGTTAAGAAATGATTAGTTTTTAGAAAGGAGATTTTTTTTTAATTATAAAATTTCATTTTTTTTAATTTAAAAAAAAGTTAATTTTTCGAAAATCGAAAATGATTCGAATTTTAATTTCATTTCTAGCTATGGGCCAGCGGTGGCGATATCGGTTAGAGCGTGGGCTAGCAGCAACCACATCAGGCAGCTTTGATGTCAAATTTCCACTTGGGGTTATAGATCACAATATAATTCGAAGTGGATATCGTCCTTCGTGGACATAGCTGCAACATCCAATCATATGCTAACTATTAGACATAAGAGCTAATATCAAAAATACCCCACACATAAGAGAATGGTAAATCGATGCATTGCCTCTCATGAAATACATAAGTAGTCATAAGTCCTTAACAAACAGCAGTATGTTTTTAATAGCTCTTTTCATACTTATATAAGCTAATTGAAACAATTATATATATATGCAAACAATATTATATTATGATAGTATAATGATATTCCCAGAATAGGTGTATACAATTTGTATCTTTATGTAAAAATCAATGTATGTATTTAAGACAAATAAAGCAAATTTTCAAATTAAAATTAACAAACAGCTTATAGAACATATAAGTGAGAGTTCTGATTGCTGTTCAAACAATAAAAAAAATCTAGCTATAATTATAAAGTTCGCTTATAGACTTATAGACTTATTGAAATAAATAATTTTAACTATTAATTTTAACTAATCTTATATATGAAAATGGAGCTCTCGATCAAATGATTCGGTAAAACTCGAAAATGGCTTAACCGATTTGGCCAGTCTTAGTCTTGAAAAATTCGTGCCAATCCAGAGATGGTCGGAAAGGTGAGATATTATTTCAAAATCGCGTAGAAACTTCACATTTTTAATTTGAAAATTTTTGTAGAAGCGTCATTTAAATAAAATAATGGACGGTGGCTAATACGTGAAATGTCAAACGTTTTTGACAGATGATGTTCAATTACGTTTAATAGGATATTTTACTTGAATATTATTTTATTATGATTAATTTGTAGTAAGTAGTTTTGTTTGTAGTTTTATTTATATACAAAAACGTTAGTAAACGGGCCGCAAGTGTTACTAGAGACTCAAAATATAAACTTTTTTGATATGTTAATATGAAAATGCACTTTTTGACATATTTTTCTCAAACATGGTGCTCTGAAAGATCTCATTTGTATAATTATATACTCATTGGTATTCATAAAACATTTTCTAGGTCATATTATTTTTTATTTATGTTATTTAAATTCAGAACCTAAAATTGGTATCGATCAAATGGACATTTTGTCAAATAACATTTTTCCAGTTATAATTTCCCAGAATTTATCGCAGAATAGATAGTAATATATGAAGGTCCAGGATTAAAAAGGTCCACCACCGATGTGTCAATAATCAGTAAAGTTAAGCATTGTTTAACAACAATATTTGAAAGTAGAGTAAAGATGTATAACCAGCTATAACCTTGATTTGAAAACGGTAATCTTTGAAATGGGGGAGATAAACGGTAATCTTTGAAAATCCATAATAAAAGTATTTTCTTCCGTTGGTAGTTTTTTAGCATTAGTTAAAAATGTAATTATTTTGTAAATTATCTTTAAAACTATAATAAGGCTTTAAACCTTTTTGCCACCTGCCCGTTTCAAGTTACCCCGCCTATAGGGTAAAAAGGTCTAGATAACAAACTTTTGGAAGACATCAAAAAAGCACTACTTCTACTTCATCAATGTAGAAAATTGATGAAGTAGAAGGCAGTTTACTGAACTCAGATAATTGTTCGTTTGATATCTGTTATTTGTTGTGATATAATTGTTATGGTTTTCACAATATAGTTTATATTTGCTCAAAGTCAAATTGGACCATTGTGCCTCGCCCTGCTCTACATATATACTTTTTATTAAATTTACTTTAATTCAACGAATGTTACTTGAAACTTTTCAAAAAGCAGGTCAAAAAAGAAATAATTTATTTTCTATCTGAAGAATCTGAAAAACTCGAAACGTAATCAATAAGTCGAAAGACCAAAAAAAACTTGGATTGGATTATACCATGTTTTCTATAGAAAGTGTATAAAACTTCCAGTTTGATTGTGTTAACAAAATATAGACAAACTAATGGGATTTATTGTTTTTATAATACCTCATTGTATATAGCATTGAAACAACATATCCTTATACACTTAAAGTATTAATATTTTTGATTCTCTAGAAATTGTTTAGAATATACCTTACTTAGCAAAACAACATTTGCCGGGTCAGCTAGTAATTTTATATAATTCTTAAAAATATGAGATACAAAATTAAGTTTCTGATTTAAAATTCTAATAAAGATTACTCAAAAACGGTCTATAATATTATATTTTGAAATCTATAAGATAAGTTTTGATCATTGGAAATAATTAAGAAGATTTGCAGGATCTGTCGCCATTTTGGTGAAAAATGCTAAACGATTTTTCAGAAATTAATTTGATTCGTATTTTTAATAAAAGCATAAATGGCGTAAAAAGTGGTAAAATCGGTCAATATTGGGTTAAAACAATTTTTAGTTTTAGAAAAGAAGTTATTATTGAAATTTGTCAAAAATCTAAATTAAAATAAATCTGAAAAATTTAAATGTTCAGAAAAAAATCAATTTTAATTTTGTTAAGAATTACTACCGGAACGAAAAGTTTCGGCAATAGATCAATGCCAGAAACCATTACATGAAATTATTTATTTATTGAGTATTTTATATCATTTCAATTTCAAATATGTCGTGCTTTTAAAATAAAACGAAATTAAATTTATCCGTACATCACATCAGTTATTCGATTTTATATCAAGTGTTATAGAAAAATGCTTTCAAGTAAAAATCGACTAATTATAAACCCATAGATAAACAAGTATAAACCCATGGATAACCAAGTATAAACCTTAGAACATTAAGGTCTGAGTGTATTTATTGACATTTCGAAAAATAGATATGAATTAACAAAAGAATAGAATAAACATCTATCTGTATGAAGGAGATCGTGATTAAAATGTAGTAATATGAACGTTAAGTCAATTTGATAATTTTATAATAAAAAGAAGTTTATTAAAGTTTATCAAAGACAATAAGTCGTAATATGAATTATTACTAATACTGTATTAGTTAAAACTTACCCGTAGTGTGGTATTCAGAACATCTAGTAGTGATAGAATGCCATTGCTCATTATAGCATGTTTCTGATTTTCTTGATGATTCATGCAAGTATAATTAAATACTTGTGCAGCTATTGTTAGACTCCTGATAAAATATTAATTTATTTTAATAATACATGATCTAAATAATTTTTTTATAAGCATACAAAAAATAATCGGCGAATGACAAGAAAAAGAAAAGTCTCTATGAGCCGAATTGTTGTTTTACATTCAAAGGAATTAGGGGAACATAAAATAAGTTATTAGAAGCCTATATAAGCAAATGAAAAAGGAAAAATTATGTTTAAACAATTCTTTTGGTATTAATGAATTGTGAGTTTTAAGTCATAGCAGCCTATAATGTTCATACTTCTCTGTATGATAATGTTATTTCAGATTGAAAAACCTAGCAAAGTTCATAAATATTGATACTGCTTGCCTTGACAACGTTATAGAATTAAGATTTTAATATATTTGGTTAAATATGAAAAAAATTTGAATGGAACCTGAAAGTTTCTCGGTGTCATAAAGTGTTAACAGAGCTTTTGAATACATTTTTTTATAAATTTGTTTAATTATGAATTCACTCACTTGGTTGTGAATGTCTTATTTGGACCTCGGGAAATAATTTGTGACAGTATTGTCAAACCTCCAGATTTCAAAAACATGGTCCTATCAGCTGAATTTTGTTTCAAGTGCATTAAAAGTCCTTGTAAATGTTTATCCGGTCCTGCTCCGACAACATTGGCATGAACTTTTGTATTTGTAAGTTGTAAAGACTTAATGTAAGTCAAAATTTTATTATGATTTGTTGGCAGTGCATCATACGTTGGAATGTGCATTGTGTATTCTGAAGGACTGAAAATATAATAAATTTATTACAATCGTAGAAATAGCATTTATAAATAATAACATATTTTGTATTCTCACTTTTTCATCAATTTTTGACGTATCTTCTTTGATTTCTTCTTCATATTTTTGTTGTTTTCTTTTGCGGCACGCTCCAATTTAGATATTTCCTCTAAAATTATAAATAATATGGATATTTTTATAACTTATAATTATTTAAAATAAAACAGAAAACTAATTCATATATCTTCGTTATTACAAAATCCATACCTTCAGGAGCATCACAAATATGTTGCATATAATATTTTTGCATAACATCAGATGTTTGAGCCATATCAGATAATAGTGATGAGCTGTGTACATTTTCCATATGCAATCTTCCTTTTATATGACTTAGTAAATAAATTTCTGACTTCAACTGAAAATTGAATATCATATTATATACTTAACTTACTACATACTAAATATATTATGGTAAATAGTATGTTTTGCATTATCGCCAGTTTGAACTGCAACATGTTTGAATAACTCAGAATATCAAATAATAGAATTATATCAAAATTAAATTTAATATTTACCATGACTTTACAAATATTACACATTTTGATGTTTGCATAAGGTGTGATATCAGGAATTAATGGTTCATCCATAAAATCACGAGGATTCGATAATTCAACAGCTTTTTGTTTTATATGTTCAATTTGCTGATCATGTCTCCTAGATGTTTCCTATAATCATATTTATATATTATATATATAAATAAATAAATATATATATAAATATTATACATTACTTCTTGCTTTTGGTTAATTTTCCTCTTAAGTTCGAAAACTGTTGCTTCCTGTTGAGCTTGTAAAGCTGACAGCCTTTCTTCTCTATCCCGTGCCTTTAAGTAACAAAGCAATAATATATTTACCAAAAAATATATGCCATAGAAAAATCATAGTGTAAGCAACTGACAACACAAGTTCTTTGTGACCGGATTTAAATATGCAATTAATCAAAAAGATAAATACATTATTTTTTTATTGAAAGCTGGTACAATGTGCAATCAATTTTTTTTATTGGAACCTTTTCTCTAGCAATCCGTTGCCTGGCCTGATATTTTTGCTCTTGTCTCCTGCCCACTCTTTCTTCTCTTTCTTTTCGACTCTCTCTCATTTGTTCCAGTCTTTTTAATCTCTCTAATTCCAAAGCACACCTTCGTCTTTCAACTGCAGCTTCCTTAGCAGCTTTCTCTTCCTGAAATATATAAATTATTACTATGAAAATAACATCAATTCGCAAAAAATAATTCAAAATATATACCAATTTCTTCTGTCTATCCTGTTGTATTCCTTGCAATCTACCACTCTGCTCCTTGCATAACTCCAAAAATTCATGTTTCTTATTCTGTGCTTCTAAAGTTTTTATGAAAGCAATTTCTTTCAGTTTTGCTTCCTCATCATGAGCCTTTCTGACAATGCCCTGTAAAAAGAATTACACATTCATTCTTATCAAAACAATAAAAAATATTTGACTATCACAATAGATACAATTTAAAAATATGTAAGCATAAATTATAGATATGAAAATACATAATTTATACATATTTTAGTTATAAGTTATATATATTATAAGTTTACCTTCAAGTGCTGATCACGATTTTCTGCAGCTTTTTGTAATCTTTGTTCCATTCTAATTCTCTTTTCCTCAATCAATTGATGTCGAGCCGCCTGTTTACAAATGGTTACAGATGAAGAAATGTTTCATTTAAATCATTTAGTTATTTTAATCATTATTTCAGTGTTTTATACAAACTTGTTTGGAAACAAGTTCTACACAGTTATAAACTTATATTGCAAATTTTTATTTAATTACTAATTTGTATTCATTAATAAGCAAGTAATAATCCATAATTAAAAATATTATTTCATGCTTTCATCAAGCTTATTCAAAACATAACCAAATAAGATTATTTCCTCATTTGTCGCTCAAATAAGACAGAAAGAAGTACATACATAATTAAAAATGAATAATTAAGAAGAATAGCAATTTGATTCCATATCATCAAGCCTATTCAATTTCTATATTAATATTTCATTGACATTTATTTTGAAAATATTTATGATTGATCAAGAAAATAATAAAGTTTTAATATAATTGAACATAACAGTACAAAATGATAAAACAGCATAGATACATCGAAAATGTGTGAACCTATGTAATTATTGATATTGATAGTGATATTAAATTATTAATATGATTTGATCAATTGAAATCATTATCATTATAAATACTAATAATAAGAAATATTGATACTGGTGAAATTATTAGCATTTCACTTAACTTTCAATAATATATTATAATTTTTTAATGTATTGAAATATATATTTTCCAATGCTTTAATTGGTTTCACTTGAATGATAAAAGAGGTATCGGAGGCAGATAATATAAATCATAAAAAATGCACATTCTTGGCGTAGATATGAAATAATACTTCAAAAAATTAGTATTAAATGTGTCACCTTAACATCTTCTACTCTTGCTAATAGTTGTTGAATTCTCAAAGATCTTTCTTGTTGAAGTGCTTGCCGTTTCTGCTGCGCCCGCGCTTGTTTAGCTTGATATTTTCTGAGTGTCTCAGGTAAAGACCTCCTTCTCGAAGGACTTGAAAGCTTTTGGTGCAATTGCATAGCTCGACCAGGATGGCGAGCCACGAGAGCTTCCAATGTAGCAAGAGCATCAACTCTCTCACCCCATGACATTTCTGAACACAAAAGTAATAGAAAAAATATCATAATTTTTAAAATCTAATATTTAACACTTTTTTATTTGCTTTTAAAAGTGGCAATAAAAAAAATTAATTACATTTCAAATAGCGGGTGTTCTCAAATTATTGTAAGTAAAGTTTTAGTTCTTATACTAATCAAACTTGATTTTGATAATTAATACACTAACATCTAATTGTTAGGCATATATTTTAAAAGCATAATGCAAACACAAATTTTGTAGAATATATTCAGTTAAAGTGTTCTTCAACTAATTAATAGTAGTCAAAAAAAAATATTCTAAATGAGTCTGATCATTAGATATAGAAAGACGAACTACAAAAAAGCAAACAAACAAATTATTAGCAATATTTATTAACAAATTATTAGCAATATTTATTAACAAATTATTAGCAATATTAATTAACAAACAAAGATAATATTCAGGTAAGTAAATTTGAAATCATTCTATTTAAAAATATTTTTGACTGATTTTGTTACAAAATGAAAATAAACTATACCTGACAATATAGGTTCATATCTCACTTCCAGAGACATTCCTGGTATTTCAAAAGGTTCAGTGCATTCACCTTCAGTAAGTGCCTCACAGTCAGTCTAAAAAATATTTATTGCCATACATTTATTTATATAAATTATAGTAAGTTAGTAGTAATAAATATCACAACAATCTTACTTCAGTTTCATCTGTTTCTGTATCAATATCGATTTCACAGTACTGTAATTCTCTTATCTGCCTATGTAAACTTTCTTCTTCTTCAAATAGCATTCGCTGATCTTGGTCAGACAAAATATCTTCATTTACCTCAATATCAGTTAATGATATATCATTGTAATTCAGATTTCCTAAAAACCAAAATACCAATATGCATTAAGTACTATAGTGAAAAATTTCATTGTCGTATAAACTAAGTGCAAAAACACAAAAATAAAATTATTATAGTATGTGCGTGTGTGTAAAACAAATTATTATGTGAAAAATATTGAAATAAAAATATATATACCAGAAATAGTTTCAGCACCATAATCAAAGTTTCCTTTACTGTGCTCTGAACCAGAATTAATTTCGCTATTAATTGAATACTGAAAATTTTTCTCAGGTGAACTGGTTTGACTAGTATAACATGAACTAGTTGAAGATTCTCTAAAATGCAGTTGCATGTTCTTCTGATTTGTTGAAATCTTGCTAATAGGAGTTTGAGAATTTTTTACATTTCTGCATATTTGTGAACAACTTTGTGACTTTTCAATGTTGATTTTTGTAGGTATGCTAGTATTGTTGGAACTTTCTTTTACTTCACTGCATGTGTATTTAAACTGGTGAGAGAACTCTTTTTCTTTGGCGACTTGAGAGGTTGATCCATGATTACCTTATTCAATGATTTTGGGTTCCTTTTAACAGAGTCAGTGCTAACAATCTTCTTATTATTATGCTTATTTTGGCTTGATAAAAGAGACGAAAATTTTGGCACTTTCGATGCCTCTGGTTTCGAATCAATAATACTTGCTTTGGGGCAGCATTTAGGCAACTGAGACAAATTTATATAATCAAAATTATGCTTTTCTAGCAATTCATGCTGTGATGATTCCTGTAATTGTTTACCCTTACGGGTTTTAACAACTTTTGCTGGTTCTCCATCACCTATTTCTGACATATTTTTATGATCATATTGATCACCTACTAAAGTTTCTGCGCTCATAGTTTTATCAGAACCTATGATTGTAATTGTTGAACTTCCTGACCAATTTTCATCTCTGTTTTTTAGCAACTGAATTTTTGGATTCCTTATGAGCATTTTGTTCTAAAGATGTATGTGAATTGTTTGTTTTTAAACCAGTTAGGTCAGATTTTTGTCTTATGAGTTTACTGTTAACTATTGGGTTAGCACTAAAATTTGCTTCCAAGCCTGAAACTGTGTCATAACACTCCCCATTATATTCATATTCTAAGTTAATTATTTTATTTTTATGGGTATCTAATGGCTTATCATTGGAATCAAATGTTAGTGTGGGAAGACTAGTGGAAGAAGAAGGCTGATAAAATCTCATTGTCAAGTAAGAACTAGGACGGCGCTTTCTATTTACTGTTAACCAACCATCTTCACATTTAGTTTGCATACTATTATTCAGACAATTAGATTTGTCCTGTACTTTTAAAATGTTAACAGAATCACTAATTTTATTTGCTTTCATGTTCACATCTTTAGTTTTTTTTACACCAACTGCATATCTGTTAGAATTATGTTTTTGATGGTTCAATGATTTTGTATCATTTGGGTTCAAATGATTTTTACAATTTCCAATAACATCCTTAACTGGCATTACAGAATTTGATCTAGATTTAATACTAGCCGTCCTACTTAATTGTGTACTTGTTTTCTTATGAATGTCTGTCATAGTTTTACTTCGATTTTGCAAAGATTTATTTTCAAAAGAAACTGAAGATTTATTTGATGATATTGGTATTTTCTTCAAATTCTGTTTTTGCACCATTTGCACAGTTTTTAATGAATTATTCAATTGTGATTTTGACAAACTTTTATCTTGTATCCCGTGTGAAATATCTTTTGTATTTTCATCTTTAAATGAATTAAATTTAACAAAATGATCATCCTTGAATGCTTGACATCCACTTTGGTTTTGACCAGATAATTTGGATGCTCTTTTTAGACACTCATTATTGCTTTTATTTAGAGTCAGTGGTTGTGATTTTAAAACTTTAGAAGCAAGGTTTACTAATTTTGGTTTTGAAACAGCAGCAGAATAAGGTGGTTTCACATTAGAAATTTCTTTGGTGTTTTTAATATCCGGTATACAATCACTACTAGTAGTTGTATTATGATTTAAAGGATTGTCTCGGTAGGAATAGTATTTGAATTTATTTCACACTTTTTCTTTTTATCAAAAATTTTACTCAAAAACTCCAATTCCATTCTATCCATTATTTCATTAATACTACTAGTAGCACTTTCAGAAGATTTGCTTATATTACTTTCCTTTTTATTAACATCCGAAGAAGGGTCATCTGTGCTACCATCATTTACATAACTTTGTGAACTATTTGATGACTTTGTACTTCTGCTACTGTCCACAGTTTCAAATTTAGAACTCCCTCCTGTATCACATGAATTTAACTCAGGCACTTTTGGAACACTTCCTGCCACAGCAATTAAAGAACTATTTGCAGTGCCACGATTTTCAGTTTCACTTAATTTGATATCATTGTGCTTATCAGAACCAATTTCAGAAAGACAGGGACTTGATTTTCCAGAGTTATCAAAGCATGGGCTTCCTTTACCCGAAGTACTGGCGCTAGATACACCATATCTGCGATTTGAATCTGAAAATAATAAACTTATAATAATATGATAATGTGTTGAATATTCACGAGAACAAAGGCATTTGTCATACTCAAAAAAACTGGACTGCTTTTTCTGATTTCCCATGCTAATGACGATGGTCTCTGCGGTGGGGGCATTTTTTCAAAACTCCATTTTAACTGGAACCAATCAGCAAGTGCTCTGAATTCCCTTGTGTAATTTTCTAGAACCAATATAGCCTCTTGACATGATGACAAATTTTCAAAATTTTCTACTGTAGAATAAATTTCTCCAACCTAGAATAAGTTTTAGTTAAATTTGAATTGAAATACTAATAAACTGATTTTAGAATAAATAAACAATAAAAATAAAATGAGTATATTAACTCTTTGATATTTAACAATATTTGTTCGCAAAACTTTAACTAGACCTTCATCAAAACTAAAATTTAACTGACAAATTCTAAAGTTAAATAGCACTTACAAATAAAAGAATATTTCTTCATTAAACATTAGAAATTATTTTGATTAAAATATTATTCATTTGTATCGGACTGTGGTATAACTAAAAACTAATCGAAATACATACAGCTCTTTGTAAGTTTCCAAACAACAAAGCCCAATATCTGGCATGTAATTCTGATTTTTTATCACGACCAGTTGATGCTGATCGAATTCTTGGAGTCATTTGATTACTGGAATCAGCTGAAGACGAAGAGATTAATCGCTTGCTCTTAGATTCTGTGCGGGGAATAGTTGGAGGTTTCTTTGCTAATTTGTCTGCAATAAAAATAATATTACATAAAAGTGATTCGTTAAATAATATGCAACCTTATTAACAAAAATACTTGAATCAGATTTAACAGAAATGTGAAAGGCCAAGAGATTTTTTGCTTCTCGGCCCTCCTCTGCAACCAGTTGTTTTAAATCAGACATCTAACCTTTAAGACAGCTGTCACTGAATAAAAATTTAATATTTTGAATACCGTAAAATGAAAAATGATTCATAATTAGAATAAGAGCAGTTCATTAAATATATGTGCTTCAATAAGTAAAGCAAACAATTCAAATGAACTATTTTCTGTGTTGTCAAAAAACAACGTCAATTCCTGTGAATTTTATGGTCGATGTCTAGTGTCAACCGACTGCCAAACAGAAACAATTGTCATAGTCAGGGCGCCCGTGGTCATTCATGCTGACTTAGCAAATTGTCAGTGTTGTACAAATAAGAGAGCTTCTTTTTTCTATGTAAGAGAGTAAAAGCATAGTAAAGGGTTAAGTGCATAGTAAGTAATTCAAATCGAAACAAAAATCGAAATTTTACATGACCTTTAGATTTAGAATCTTTTGATTATTGTGTATATCATTAACCGTTGGATTGCCATCTAAGAATAAAATAAGAAAACGTAGAAAATTTCGAGCACAATAACCCATTATGAACCCATTGGACTGTTAATTCAGTTTTCATGTAAACCATAGGAAAAAAAACATAGAAACTAGTTGGTATTAGTATTTTGCCTTGAGGCAAGTTACATGTACTTCCCGAGATATGTAAATAATCGACCTAATCAATAAAAAATACATTAATGAGTGATTAAAAGTATTCCGAGTGGATTTATTACACATAATTGGAAAAGAACGAACACGTTAACTCGGAGTATTTTCTAAAAGCAAATTTTCAAAAATCAACAATTTTTATAATTGAACCAGTTCCCGTAAGACTTCAAAGGTTTAGAATGTTCATTAGGACCAAGTAAACTATCGTTCTACCAAGTAAATCGTCTAATTTTAATTTTAACAAACGTCAAAAAAATACTCATTTTCTCAAACTTTGATGAATTTTTAAAATTAAACTACTTGTTAATAATTAATTAAACAGTTAATTACAAGAAAACGGCTCGGTAGATTTTCACCTGAAACTAATCAGAGGCTAATCAGTATCATTCCCAACTAATATCTCTCAAACAGTTTTTGATTTTTTAAAATCGATTCGGTAGTATGAGCTTAAATGTGAACGGAAGGTTTAACACTTTTTTCAAATTACAAAAAAACTGCTCGGCAGATCGTTGCACAAAACTGATAAACGATAGTACTCATTGTGATACATCAAATGGCTTTCAAAGTTCTGAAATTTTTGCAAACTTTGACGAATTTTCAAAGTTAAACGAGTTGTCGTAGGGCCGTAATATTTTAGTATGATCTATAAGACTATGGTATCTACCGTCAAACATTTTTTTTTAACACTTTATTACAAGAAAACGACCCGGACTATGAACACGGGGTATTCTAATATTGTCTAGGACCCGGACGATCTTTACCAAAAGCGGTTTTTGAATTTTCAAAATTGCGGGCTGAACCGTGGACAAAAAATTTTGCACTTTTCTACTATTTACAAAGAATCTTTTGATGAAATCTTCTCCTTCGGGGAGTTAACAAATAATATTTAATTTTTCTGATGTAAGTAAATATAAAATTTGTATAATTATTGAATTATTGAACAACAACTGAAGTTTTCTTTGATGCATTATTAAAGCTACTAGTTTGAAAGACAAGTTTGATGAAGAAAAGTAACACATATTTTATTGTAAAATGTTGAACTCGCACGATATCATTTCAGAATGAATAAAATTTAACAATTTCATACCAAAGTTATATTTAACATTATATAAATATATGAGAATTTTGACCTTTATTTTTCAATTTTAGGTAAAGATCAAAACTTTACTACATACTATATAGTTTATTCATGGTTTATTTTTAAACTAAATTTCAAACTTTTGATAATTTAGCTAGCTTTGCGCAAAAAAAAAAATTAATACTAGTGGTGAATGGCATCGTGCCTTAAGGCAAATAGCTAGAACTTCCCGTACCGTAATAAAATTGTCAAAGAATTTGAAATTTTAAAATATTTTTTTACCATCCCCAAAAAATATTATTTTTTCACACTATAAGCACAAGCAAAATGTTATTTTAATTGTTTTAATCAAATGATCCGTTCTCTCAATGACTGATATCTTTTCACTATTTGCTCCGTATCTCTGAAACGGCTGGAACTGCCTTTTCATAAAAACTAATAAGGTCATCTTCTCTTCATTGAAAGTTTTTTTATTCATTCTTATCCGATGCATCTTTTATATTGTGTCGATATCACTTCATGATGTCTTGACAATTTTTCTTATTAATATCAGGCTATACTAAAAATACTAGTCCAACTACTTTTATTTACGGTAATACTGAACAATTAAAATTATAATGGCCTAGCAAATTACGCTTGGCTTAAATTTTAGATAACCTGCAATGTGATTTTCCACCGGAGCTCGTTCTAATACAATATAAACATTTCAATGCTGTGAATTGCGCATATTAGTTACCTTATAGAATAAGATTCACTGTAATCGTAATGTTTGTCATCTATTGTATACTTTTAACATAATGTTTGTGATCTATTATTGTTTATCATTTTTGTCAATTTATTATCATCTATTAGTTATCTTGTCAATTGATTATGCTAAAAAAGTAAATGAAAACTCATGCCAAACTACAATACATCCAACTCTTTCCACGGAATGAGTGATAAAAACTGCAAATTGTTTATGACAAAAATTTAGTCATTTTAAATAAAGTAACTTATAAATATGAAAAAGTATTATCAATTATCGTTAATTATAATATCATTTATTAGTTTAGTTTTAGTGATAATATATCGCAATGAATACAATAGGTTACGTTATGTGCTTGAAGTATTAAATTTCTTTGGAAAACCAAATGGAATTGAAAATAACTACTGTAATTTATTAGAGAATGTAACAATGATAAACAAATATAATGTACCCATACCAGCCTGGCAAAATATTGGAGATGCATATATTTACTCAGCATTTTGGGATGAAAGTTCTATTGGAGGTACAGTGCAGGCTTTGGGTATTTCAAAGGAAGTAGCCTTTCCTTTATTCATGTGCAGTATATGGTACACTAATCAAATAAAGCCGGTCAAAGGAAAATTCTCCACTCAATTGTTAAGTACATCAAGCAATGAATATAATTATAAATTATATATATTTTCTTGTCGAGTAGACAAATCTTTTGGGGTTCCCTTCAATGTCATGTACTATAAAGATTCAAATATAAAATCATCTGGAATTCCGGTCTATTCAAAGAATTTTCTATCTCCTAGCAATAGCATTTTGGCATGCATCAAACCAACTCATAGCACCAGGAATCCAACTGAAACAATTGAATTCTTAAATTTTCATCAAGTACTTGGAATCAAAAATTATATTATATATGACAATGGTATTTTAGTTCCAAGTTTATTAAACCCATTAATTGGTTTAGATATAACTGTTTTACCTTGGAACTTACCATTTTATTTAGAGCAAGAATTAGTGCACCAAATAATAGAAAATGATTGCTTAATGCGCACTAAAAATGCAGTTGAGATGAATGTTATTTTAAATTGGAATGAACTCATTGTGCCTAGTGCTGAAACTTCAGTGTCTTCACTTATAAATGCCTATGATCCTTTGCAAAGATTCAAAAAATTTCAATTTTCTGTTCTAGATTTTTGCTTAGATTTTCAAGATGAAGAAAATAATCCAAAAACCCAAGTTATATTCCATAAATTACATTACAAAAAAAAGAAGGAGAGTGCCACATTCCTTATTAGATCGAAGTCAATAAATGATGATGAATCACAACAAAAGTTAATTGATTCAGAAATAGCAATTGTACAAAGATATGTGGAATGCTTCAAACATAATATCAGTAACAAACTAGACAGATCATCAATTATATTGAGGTTTAATACAGACTTTGTGAAAACATATTTATACAAACTGTGGATAACTGGTTCTTTATTCAAATAGATAGAAACATTAAGCATAAGTTCCTGATCGTTTTGATGCTAATATAAAAGACTGATCAGTTATCTAATAATGATAACATAGAGCTTTTTGCGCATATTATGTGCCTTGATATATTTTGCTGAAAATGATTTATTTATTTTTGCAATAAATTGAATATTTGAAATAAAATATTATGAATAGTACAAATTGTTTTATTAATATTGATGCATGCAGAAAGAGTTGATGGAAACATATTGAAAGGCACTCTATTGATATAATGAATTGATGTATTAATTAATAAATGTATTAATCCTTAATGAATGAATGATAATGAAATTTGTAAATGATAAATTACTTCTGATAAAATCTTTAATAGATTAATTTACCACATTCATATCACAAATCTTAAATTCAAAACACACATCAAAATTTCCAACGTGGTGCTTATATATAATACCTTTATAACATGTTTAATTAATGAATAATATATTAAATACTGTAGTTTTTATATTTGTTATCTTCATGTTCAATAATTTTCATTACTGTAAAACATTAAATTACATTATAATAAGTTACAAATTTAAATTTATATCTATATACAAATAAAAGAAAATCTTACTCATTCCAATAAGAATCACTCCCTGCATTATCTAAAGTTTTATCAACAGTGTCTGAATTTGAATTAGAAGTATGCACAGTGCTCGCTGTTGAAGCTTTGTTCTTATTTATTTCTTTTAAATCTCTGAAATTTAAATTTACTTACATAACGAATATTTATTGCAATTTTTCAATTGATAGGCGATAAATCTATGCAAATAATACAAAAAATATTTTTTTCAATGCTTCATGGTTCTTTTATTATATACTTAAAGTTTTTTATATAACACATTCTTTGGCAATTTTTTTTTATTATATATTAGGTTATTTTGAAACTTCTTACTTACTCGCCTAAGACATATCCCCTACCAATAGACTCCCAGTATGATTCAGCTTTTTCTAAATTAAATCGTACATGTTGCCGTTCATGAATTATTTCTGGTTCTTGCATGTCACTGTTAAAAATATAAGTAAATCATTCCAAATATTTTACAATAAAATGCAAATTTGAATAACAAAACAATTTCCACATTTATATTATATATTTAAACAATGTAAATAAAATTACAATAAAGATAATTTAGCCGTGGTAAATATCAGCAAAGATAAGTTAAATTATATAAAAATGTTTATATAAAGTGTCTATTGCATAGTTTAGATTTAGACTAATTATATTCATATATAAATTTTACTTTAATCTTTGCATAACTGCGGCATTCAATAAACCTGCTTGAGCAACTGTCTCCTCTAAATTCGATAATTCACGACTTGGAAAAGTAGTCAAAAGCGAGAAGTTGGTGTTTTCATATTGTGGCCGAGCTCTAATTTATAGTGGATCGAAAAATATACACAATAAGATGACTAATAGATATCTATAAACATATACTCAAATAAAAATAGAAAATAACAATAACATGTCCTAATTTAGAAAATAATTTTGAAGAATATTGCAAAGAAAAAATATTGCAAATTTGGAACAATTGGTCAAATAATAATTTAGATATAAACAGCAGAATAAAATAACATTAACAAATGAATACATAATATTTGCTGATTCTTATCAATTCCGTTCCCGTGTATATTAAATAATATTTTACTGGAGTCAGACTCAACACCGTCTTTGATTAAGTGCAATAATATGCTTAAATTACATGATTATTTGTTGTTAAAATCGACACCAATAAAAATATTAAACATTATATTGAAGACTATTATTTTCTCTAGTACAATGATGTAGCAAGTATTGTACAAAAACTCCACGATCACGATATTTTGCCAATATTCACTAAAATTTGACACTATTATATAGATAGTAAATAAAAAGGATACGTTGTGATATATCTTCTCAGATCACCTATTGTGTGAGAGTGATTGAATCGACCAGACAGACGAGAACCATCAGATAATCGAACTTGTATATTTGTGCTTGGAGATGACTCATCTGTGGCCAATCCAGTTACAGCAGCTTGTTCATTGTCTATTGATTAGATTGTTGTTTTCAAATGTTATATTCCAGTAATATTAATAATCATTATGTCAATGAAATACCTTTCTCTGCGGTAGGTGAATTTGTGGGCAATTTAGGCGCTGACACCACATTGGGGGCAGGGCTGTAATATGAATATTTTTTTATCAATAATGATCTAAAAAGAAGTAACCTTGAGACAACACATAGTGCAAACACTTTATATACATATACAGTGGTACCCAGCCTTACAAGCGACTCGTCATACTCACTTTTGCAATACTATAATGAGTTGAAGAAAAAAAAATCTCATTGGATAGTGATAAACTCAAAAACTAGTATGATGATAAATTTGTCATTATTTATTTAGAAATTTGCTATGATTTTGCAGAATATATATTTGATCTTAGCAATAATTGTTTCATTTATTTTTATTATTATTAAAACACTGTGCTAGAACAAATTAATAGCATTTCAATGTATTTATATGAAAAAAAAAAAGATTTGAGATACGAACAATTCGACATGCGAGGTTGCTTATGAATTAAGCTCATAAGGCTGATACCACTGTATATATATTTAATATTATTTTTATCATAAGTGGGAGTAAGTGGTATGATAAATTTATTGTTAAGATTTATTCACAAAACCTTTTTCTTATTTGATCAATTATTTTATTTTTGGTTTATAAAATTCGGAATTTAAAACAACACACATTTAAATTTCAGAAGAGGGATCAAAGCCAGTGTCCTGTTTCTCACATAGAATGAGTCTTCTCTCTCGCTATTCAGTTTTTGGCTGTTATTATTGATAAGAAATCCATAATCCATCTAATAACGAGTCTCTGATGTCTTTATAGCAAACATAATTTATTGCTCATGTGGTACTCTCAGCCATTTAGTGCCTTACATGCCTAATGAGAAATGCTCCATAAATTTCTGTCAAAATTTTATTAATGATAATTCCAAAAATTGCGATGAATAACCAATATTCAGATTAGGGCGTACTATTATTTATTAAAGTTATCAACAATGAAGACATCGCATTTTATATTAGCTGAGTGGTCCCATACTGGCCTCTTCACAATAAAACTAATGTTCATATTAATTTCGATTTTCCCAGTTTTGTAAAGAGCCTAAAATACATTTGCAAGCAAGCTCATAAAGTTATATGAGGCCCTTGTAATAGCTGATCCTCAATATTCTAAAATCGGATTTTTTTTTGCGAAAACAAACTTCTCCTTTGGGAAGTTAAAAAAACAATCTAAACTAATTTTCAACTTTTTACCTTATCATTTACCCAAGATGCCATTCAAAGTATGCCACATACACAAAAATATAATTAGATTTTCACACAAATGTCCATGCTGAACAACTCAAACTTTTAGGTTAATTTAGTATGTCCTTATTCATTCAGTAATAAGCACCATGAATCCTTAATCTATGCTTAACTGTGAAATTTAGAGATTTCATATCAAAATGCCCATTAAAAGACATTAAATACAGTACCTGCCAAGAGTGTGACCCTTTCCCGAAAACGCGGCAACTTTGGTTTTGGGTGGAATATATTGTTCATGTCGATGATCTTCTAAGTCTAAATGTACCTCCGCACCATGTGCCTCTTGAATCAGTTCAGGAGGAATCTCTCTTTAAAGTGAAAATAAAAGAGCTATATAAATAACTATCTATGGACATAATTAGCTTCTCATGAGAAGATATGGTATAAAATTTCATTCATGTCATGGTGCATTAGATCTTGAAAAATAAGTTAGTAAGTCTTAATAAACATTAATATTCAAATTTTTTAGACCCAACTGTCCTAATTATTACCTTGATTTATTATATCATAAAATTTCACACACAACTTTCTTATTGCAATCAAAATTCTAATATATTTACATTGTGATACTACCTCAACACATCAACAACCTTGAAACAATTTTGTAGAATTGAGTAACTTCGAATGTAGTCATTTTTAAAAATAAAACTATTTTCTTCAATCTAGATCTATTTGCACATGTATCACCAATTTTGAAATGCACATATTATAATTTAAATGCTTTTTCGAAAAGACAAAAGAAAGTATAAACTAGTGATTGCAAATTAAAAAAAAATTTTTTTTTCAATTCCCCAAAAGCTAATCATTACTTCACATTGTCAACACAAACAAAATGTTTTTTGAATTAGATTATCCGTTCTCTTGATAACTGCTATTTTTTACACTTTTTGCTCCGTATCTCCAAAACAGTGGTAACTGCCTTAGCAAAAAACAAATTAGCACATCTTCCCATCAATAAAAGCCATTCAATTTTTTTTAATCATTCTAATCGGATGCCCGATTTTCGCAAAGACCGAGTTTCTTTTTCCTCTACTTTTTGCTCTGTATTGCCAAAACGGCTAAAACTGCCATTGCCAAAAACTAATCAACACGTCTCCCTATCAATCAAAATCGAATGTTTTTTTAATAATACAAATCGGCTGATGTGTGCTCCTGAAAACAGGGCCGAAAAATTGTATTCACACACACACAAACACATAAACACGCACCACGCATCAATTTCGGTTTTTTGATTATTACTATAACTTACCCCACAAAAAGTTGATGAAGTTTTCAAATAATTTAAGTAAACATCAGTAAATATTTATTGATTAATGGAAGACCTGACAAATCAATCTATACATTTAGAAACATTTTTCGAACAGTTTGCGAATTTTCGAAATCAGATTAGAATTTCATGAGTAAATTAGAAGAAATAAAAAATGTAGATAGAATAATAACTGCTTGCAAACATATTTCAATATAATTGAAATTTCTAAAAATTAAAAATATTTAAATTATGGTACTGAAAATTTTGGTCAAGCCTGGAGTTCTCAAAAATACTTGATACTTTCTGATCTAATAGTAGATATGATAAAATCAACTTTAACAAACTTTGGTTAAAAGATATTTACCCCTTTTTGATATGATCTAAAAATTCGCCGTTTTCAGGATCACTGTACATGCGCATAGGACCATCGCCAAGTGTGAAACCATCTCTCCATAATTTCAGAACTACAGTTGTAGGTTCATTGTTTTCTGTTTTTGGAGTTGATACAGCAGTACTATCTTCGGGAGTTTGACCTAATCTATAACCCACTCCTTGAAAAGTTCTTGGTGTAGATGACGAAGTTGAATGCTGAGGATCTAACACTTCACTAGCATGCCTTTAAAAGAAGAAAATGATGCACACATTTTAAACAAAAAACAAACAATTAAAATGTAATTGCTTAATTTGCAATAATGCAAATGCAATATTAATTAATATGTGAATTGAGCAGGTTCTGTGCAAATATTAAACATTTTTAAAATTGATTACTTTGTTCAAAAGACACAATTTTAACTGTATAATAGTTCAAGTTTTGCTCAGAAATTTGAATATTTACATTGACATTTTACTTAATATATTTCCATATACATTAATACTAACTAATGTTGTATATCAATAACAATGGAGATAAATATTCAAATTTAATATAACTTACTCTTGCACAGCTTTGAACATATCAGCTACGATATCTCGTTTCTTAGGTGGGCCAAGTATTTGTTGTCCTGAATTTCTAGAACCACCGGCATAAAATGCTTGACCTTCCTCTTCATCAGAAGAAACTTGAGATTGTTGTAGTGACTGCACAGTTGCAAATCTATAAAACATAAACAATATAACTGAGAACTTTGATGTTTAAAATTTATAATAACATATATTTCTGCTTGTATGATTAACACTTTAATCAATTTTTATAACGCCAATGAAATATTATATATCACAACCATAAAAATATCTAAGAGAAATAATTTGACTCTTAGCCTAAATTCAAACTATTTTCAAAATATATATTGCTATTGCAGTACCTGGAATTGTTTCTAGAATTAGGCTTGGACGTCTGCCTTGATTGTGGAGGTTGTGTCACCTCAGCAGATTCACTTTGTGGAGGAGAGTTAGTATCATCTTCAACGTTGCCGTCTTCATCATCTCCTCCATGTTCATAAAAACTAGCTAGGGCAACCTACAACAATAGAACTCCTTAGTAACTAAACATACATAACCAGCAAAAATTTACTCTCGAACCTCAAGTTGCCAGGCTGCTGACTCTAGATGAAATTTTGCACGTTCTTTAGAAACTCCAGTTATCGCTTCAAATTGATTGATTTTCTCTTCATTCTCCATATTACAATTTATATATTAAAAATTTATAACATAAATAATTTTTGGAAATTTAACTGTCAAAAGTCAAAACTGAATCATTGATGTTGCTCAGTCATGAACGTCATTCTACAACTTCAACTTCAATGCATTTACAAAGAAGCCGGTGAAAAGAGGTGACTACAAGAGCGACGCCATAGTATCGACATTTGTGCCATTTTGAGATTGCGAAAAACGCTCGGGAACGGGCAAGCTCTCCTCTAGCGGATTTTAAGTGCAACTTGGAGCCCAACAAATATGGCGGATGACACATTTATGAGTTGAATTTGCTGTCAACTAATATTTGTTTTGATGTTAAACGTGCATTTTTAGGTTAGACGTTTCATATTTCTTACATATTTTCATCATTTATTTTTTATGATTTTACAATAACAGAGGTAAGAATAATGAAATTCAAAATATAAATTTTGTTTGCTACTACCAATATGCATACTATTTACAGTCAGGAAGGATATTCAATCAAAAAAATATGAAGAAAGTTCAAAGTTTGAAGAGGCTTTAGTAAATTAAATCAATATTTGCTTAAATGATCATATTTAAATGCATAAAAGTATTATTAAAAATCCATTTGCGAGTTTGATTCTAAGGAAACACAAATTATAAAAGTTAGAAATTAGTTATATTGCTTTAGGTTTTACTTTTCAGATTCATTCGTTGGTAGTTTCCAGGGTGTTTGAAAGTAGGTTCTTATTTATTGCACTCCAGATGGCTTTATTTCATTTGTTAATAATGTGGGCCTAGGCCGAATTACTCCTACCCAAATTAATGTACTCTCGGGCGTGATAAAAAGAAAGTAAAATCTGGAGGTGCTGTATTAACTGACAAAGGTAAATTCATGAGTAAAAAAGAAGAGTTTTTAATTGTACTTCATAGTCAGGATTTTCATCAATATGGACTGAGTTAGACTAATAAATATAGCAGTACGCTATTTGTTTAAAATTAAATTTAAAATGGATTACTTTCACCAGGAGATATTAATTAAACTCACTTTGATCAAAGTTTGAAGCTTCGAAGCTAGTGTGCGTATACATGTAGAATGAGTCATACAGAGAATGAAAATTTTAAAACTTTTATGTAATACACCAAAGGACTATCAATTTTCTGGTGAAAATATTGTTTTTTTATGTCCTATTTTGGTGAACCTTCAAACTTTCATTATTGAATAAGATGGGGATGGTAAATGAAAGAAATGTTAGTTTATATCAGATTAAATATATATGTATCACGACTGTTGCTTGTATAATAATATTAACTTTACATAAATGTTATTTGTAATACATAAATTGAAAGCTTTTCGAAATCAATGATGAATACTTCTTATATGTACCTAAATTAATCTGAAAGAAAAACATTGAGAGCATATAATTTAAAGTATAAAATTTTAACAGGTATGTAATATTAAATTCACACAAATAATTACCAATCTATGGAGGAAACCCTCTTCTATCAATATTAGCAAATACTGCTCATCGGTATAAAATTTTGGAGAAATTCTTCAACCTTGCATATACTGATACAATAGCTTCCTAAAATTTTTAAAAGTAATATCTTTTTATTCAATAAAACAAAACATACCTGCAGGTAACAAAACAATTAAATCAAATCAAATTGCAGTGTAGAAATCCTGTAAGTCCTGACATCCTATCAAATACGAGATTCATTCTGCAACAAAGTTCTAATAGAAAGATCTAAACTTTGTTCAGCTGATAACACAACATGCATATCATAAAATATCTTATGGCCTTCTCTGAAAATTTCATCATACCATTAAGCAACACATATGTTTGTTTTAATATGGTGGCCAATAGCAAATACATTTTAATTATGAGTACAAACACCTCAATGAATCTATCCAACAAAGCAATTTATTTCTTCTAACGTTAATTATAACAAAATTCACCTTCTTATTCATGCGCTTTCTTCACTTAATATACGCACATGATTGGTGACACTGATATGCCGCATTATTATTAGAAATAAATAAAACTGCGATTATAAGAAGCAATAACCATCTTTAACAAGCACATAAGTTTGAATCAAACCTGTCAAAATACGAAATAAAACCTGTCAAACGCCATCTTGTTTGGGCACCTGGTTTGCACTTTTTCGCCACCCCGAGAAGTCACGGCGTTTTCACTAACATTTTTATGAGCTTGCCCGTTCCCTATAGCGGATTTTAAGTGCAACTTGGTGCCCAACAATATGGCAATTGACATAGATAAATAAACATAAAATGATGATGAAGTTTCACATTGTTCGAGAGATAACTTCCGATCACTCGCCATGTTCACCATCTAGTACTTATACTTGTTTATCTATGTTCACCATAGTCTTTTTACGCTTTCTGGAATGATTAGGTGGATTAGGTCATGGGGGGTAATCTCCGAACAAATGAAGATTACCGTGTTTTTGAAATGGATTGGTATTTGAATAGTTCGAAGGATG